CCGAACCGTGACGTTAAAACCGAGGTACGTACCGAACTGTCATATTTGTGTACCGTTACACCCCTAATATATATACATATATATATATACACATACACTACTGTTCAAACGTTTGAGGTCAGTACGATTTTTCTTTGAAAGAAATTTAGCAAGGAATTGCTCTAAAGTGACAGTAACGACATTTATAATGTTACATTTACTTCAAAAAAGCTGTTCTTTTGAACTTTTTATTCATCAAACAATCCTGAAAAAAATTAATAGTGGTTTCTACAAAATAAAAAAAAATTTGAGTTGCACAACTGTTCTCAACATTAATAAGAAATGTTTCTTGAGCAGCAAATCAGCACATTAGAATGATTTCTGAAGAATCATGTGACAATATTTCACAATATTACTGTTTTACTGTATTTTTGACCAAATAAATGCAGCATTGGTGAGCAGAAAAGACTTTCAAAAACATTCAAAATCTTACTGAGCCCAAACTGTTCATTAGTAATATACAATATATATTTAAATATTCTAATATATATATAATATTTATGTATATTTTCTAAAACTGTCATTCCTGTATTGTGAGGAATATGAATTTCATAATTTGCATAAATATATCCCTTTACTCACATCACAGTAATGAAAATGTAAGTGAAATCCTCCTTAATGATAAGATGTTTTGCATTGTAACATTATTTCCAAGATAATTTTGCAAAACAATATGAATCGGGATCCATAGGACATGCTCTTGATTCGTAATATGAAGGCTTTGTGAGCTTCACCATACAACAAACTCAAAAAGCTTCAAGAGATCAGGGCGAAAATGTGTCGTACTCCGTATTCACAGACACACCGTCCTCCTGGTTTGCTTCTTATATTGATGAACTTTTTAATTGCCTTCTCAAATTTACTGATTCAGGTAACGATCCTGCCCGCAAGCTGTCATATAATGACAATCATTTGATTTGTTTGGTCTGGGGGTTGCTAATAAACCATAGGTGCCTCTAATTAGATGGTAACATTGAATAGAGTACAGACCCTACAGGCATTAATCATACAGCTGCTGACTTGCAGTAACAGCCCACCTCCTCAATGTCCACAGGTTTGCTGAAGATCTGGAAGCGCTTGTCGGTGGCGAGCCGCTTTGTGATGTCCCTGAGAAAGAGGCGGAGCTCGCGCAAGGTGTTCTCCTCCTGCTCCTCCAGTCGCCGCAGCTCCTCTGGCGAGAGCTGCCGAGGGCCGGGGTCTTCAGCGAGGGTCAGCACCTCCAGAGCGCTCACTGAAAACACAAAAACAGGCACAAACCCTAAGTACAGTACTTAACTACAATCATGAGGAAATAGGCAGTTCTGATTTAATTATTTTTCAGTACTTCTAAAGGAGTAAGTAAAGAATCACTGACTGATTTATAACCAAAAAGATCTTTGTATTGCCTTTTGAATTGTTTTCAATATTCATGCACTTCCTCTGGAAAGAGTGATTTTTCCCCCCAATGAGAGGAACAAGTCAACAAAAACTAGTAAAAGTCTAATTAAAATGAATCAATACATGTTTTATATACTAAACAGACACAAGGTTGAATTTATTGCATTTGCAGTTAAAAAAAAATCATGATTTTTTTTTTTTTTTTTTTTTCAAAAAACGCACAATACAGATCAATATTTAACTAAATATATTTAATATTAATTAAATTCATAAATACAAAATCACAGACTGCTAAAAACTTCTTTAAATGGAACAAATCAAATTAAGAGTTTAAAATTAATTTGATGGAAAAAAAAATCAAAAACACCAACACTCTCCAAGATCACAAATGTAGTCTTATGACATGACCTTTAGGAAATGTAAGGGCCAAATTAAAAAAACAACAACAACTACTACTACTTTATTGCAATGTTCATGAATTACATCACAACAAACAAAATCAAGACATACTAGGGCTGGACAATAATTCAATATCAATATGTATCGCGATATAATTTCTCTTCTGCTCAGCAAGGCTGCATTTATTTGATCCAAAGTACAGCAAAAACAGTAAAATGTTGAAATATTTTTACTATTTAAAATTGCTTTCTATTTGAATAGATTTTAAAATGTAATTTATTCCTGTGATCATACATAGCTAAATTTTCAGCAGCATTCCTCCAGTCTTCAGTGTCACATGATCCTTCAGAAATCATTCTGATATGCTGATTTGCTGATTATCAATATTTAAAAAGTTGAGTACATTTTTTTTCAGGATTCTTTGATGAATAGAAAGATCCAAGATCAGCATTTATCTGAAATAAAAAGCTTTTGTAACATTATACACTATTCCATTCAGTATAATTTTTATTATTTTTTTGGGAAAGAAATTATAGAAATTAATACTTTTATTTAGCAAGGATGCTTAAAATTGATCAAAAGTGATGATAAAGGCATTTATAATGTTACAAAAGATTTCTATTTCAGATAAATAGTGTTCATATCGATATCGGAATTATATCGTATCGACCGAAATTAAGAAATATATCGTGATATCAATTTTGGCCATATTGTCCAGCCCTAAGACATACACACACAAACTAAAAAAATTATAATTAAAATTCTCTTATGTCTCTTATGCTCACCAAGGTTGCATTTATTTGATCAAAAATACAGTAAAACAAATTAAAATATCTGTTTTCTATTTGAAAATATTTTCAAATGCAAATTATTCATTTGCATCATTACTCCAGTCATCAGTGTCACACAATCCTTTTGAAATCATTTTAATATGCTAATTTGCATTTCTTATTATGTATATTTACTTACTATCTTATGTTGACAACAGTTGTGCTGCTTAATATTTTTGTGGAAACGGTAATACATTTTTTCAGGATTCTTTGATGAATAGAAAGTTCAGAAGAACAGCATTTATTTGGAATACAAATCTTTTGTAACATGAAATGTCTTTACTGTCACTTTTGACCAATTTAAGGCATCCATGCTGAATAAAAGTATTTCTTTCTTTCAAAAATAAAAATCTTACTGACCCTAAACTTTTGAACAGTAGTGTATTATATATTATCTATTATGCAAGGAACATCAGAATGTGTTTTTTCCAATGGCAAAAGAATGCAGACGTTTAACCCTTTAGGCGCCAGGGATTTTTGGGAAAAATGCTGGATTTTGACATCAAGATTTCAAAAGCTTGTGGCTTGAAAGGGCTTAAACAGAGATATACTGTAAATTTGAAAAATGTTGGGCATGACCGAAAGTTTATGTGGGGAGTAAATATACTCGTCTAATTTGCATATTATGACGTCATCAGAGGCGGCCATCTTGAATTTCATAATATTCAGGAAATAGTAGATATTGAATTGATGTTTGAACTTATTTGCATGTTTTTTGTTTTTGTCTTTTTATCCTCATTCCAAATGATCAGAAAAGGGGAAACAACAATAAAACAGGAGAAAGTGCTAAATTATTACTATATTACTATACTATATAGTAGTAAAACGCATGTGAACAGTAGCCTACTTTTTGATCAGTAATATTCAGGAAATAATAGATATTGAATGGATGTTTGAACTTATTTGCATGTTTTTTGTGTTGTTTTTTTTTTGGTATTTTTATCCTCATTCCAAATGATCAGAAAAGGAGGAAACCAACAATAAAACAGGAGAAAGTACTAAATTACCAACAGGCTCAAAGCGTTTGATCCAGTCCTGATACACTTCTTCATTTCTCAAATAAACCCAGCCACCACCCATCCCTGTTGGGCAAAGGGTCGAAATGATCACTTGTTTGTGCTTCGTGAACACTCTCGCCTTGCACGGCGGCACCATTGCGCTGCAAAGATGTACCGGGAGAAGCGCGATCATTAGACGACCAATCGTCATTTCCAAAAGGCAAATATTCCCCTTCAGAGTCAGAATCGGCGAATAACATTTGCAACACATCCTCACGGTACAACTTTTTATTAGCCATTTGGCGATTTTCTCTCACAAATCTCACAATTTACTCAGACGCTCTGAACTGAACTGCTTCCACATCAATGACACGATAGCTCGCTTGCTCTGCTATTTGCTCGAACACTTTGAATAGGAATATGACGTCATTTTGGTCTAGAATCGAAGTACTACATGTCTGCCATCTAGTGGTAGGGAATACAAATGAGATATTACACCATATTAGGATCTACAGCCTATTTTATTAAGTATGACGTCTTGTCACAATTTTGCGACTTTGGCGCTTAGAGGGTTGAGAACTGTTAACAGAAAATCATGGTATTCCAGTATTTTGTCTAGAAACTCAACCGGATACCAGATGAAACGCTGAGCAAATGGTCCGAAACAACAGGAAGAGTCAGATGACACTGAAACCGTGCCAGAGCAGCTAGAGGAATTACAAACACCCTGTGTTATGTGTATGAAGTCGAGAAACGCTTCCCTCCACAGCGTGGGTCGCAGAGTATTATTGATTTCTGAAGAGCTCCAACAAACAAACCTGACAGCTGCAGTAATTCAGAGCTGCATCTATACAATGAACCAAAAACACACAGCCAGAAATGACCAAACACACCAAGCGCTAATGTGGCACTGCCTTGTAAGAAAATATCACCGCCGACAAAAGAAAAAAAACTTCTCTGTAAACAGGCCGAGAACCTTGTGTTGTGCTAATCCAAAGATCTGGGCAGAATGCCTGGCAGTCGTTGAGCCACCAGCCTCAGCAATTTGCTTTGTGGCAGCAGCTAGCAAGCAGTCATGCTAACTGTGAGCGTAATTATAGCTAATGGTTAAGGCCCGGTGTTTAATAGAGCCCCTTTCTCCCACCACAGATGCTATGCTGCCAAAGGAAGTAGGGTTTGTGTTTTATTCAGAGCCGCCCGTGGTCGGCCCACGGGACGACCCCTGCTCTGCATCAATGGGTCATGATGCTCGCATTTCCACTTGAAAGCCATTCTGATATTTTGAAAAGTGCATTTCTTTCCTTACAATGTAGTGTTATTTTAGCATCATTTATAACACTAACACTTTGAATTAGCTTTTAATTTGACATTTTCAGTGTTCACTTTAGTTGAAGTTTAGGGATTTAGTTAAGTGATTTTGTCATTTTCGGATGGATAGATGGATAGATGAATAGATGGATAGATGAATATGGACAGATGGACATATGGATAGGACATACACAGTGTATATAGTAAATTTAGTACTTCAACTTGAACTTATTTGAAGTTGAAGGCTTTTTTTTTTTTTTTTTACATTTTTCATCTAATATTAATATTATATATTAATGCATCTTGAATTTAATTTTTTTTTTTTTTATAGTTTTAGTTTTTAGGATTATTTCAGGTCTACAGCCCTTTCATTCCAATCAAAATTTAATTTGGACTGATCTGAATCAAATTGACTAAGTTGTTTACAAAAAGGTTTTCATTCAAATTGAGCCATCAATAACTAATTATTTAGGTGCATGTAAACTTAGCTAATAAACATGTACATATACTGTTGTTTTGGACCCCATTGACTTTCATTCTTCAAAATATCTTCTTCTGTGTTGCACAGAAGAAAGAAAGTCATACATGTTTGGAACAACATTAAGGTGAGTAAATAATTTTTCATTTTTGGGTGAACTATCCCTTTAAGAATCTGAACCAAACCAGAAGTGAGGGACAGTGTGGGGAATATTAAAGTCACAATGGTAATAAATGACATCAGCATCCAGTCAGACCATACCGTCTGACACCCTAGACAGACCGAAGGTAGAGACATAAGGCACTTTAACATACGCCTTTTACATGCTAATGGCCTCATTAGTGCCCAAGCACAAAGTGTGTGTAGCCTCTATCATTCTTCTTTTTCTTGCTGAGAGTCTATGGTAGTCACCGGAATCATCTTGTGAAGTTTTTCCTTGTAACTTTTCCATAACTTGGTTGCAAATCTCTGGTCTGGTCTCTATGAATTCCTATTATGTGCTGAGTCATATGTAATACAAGGTATTTTGAAAAAAAATTTGAAACAAAAATAAAATATCATCACCATGCAATGAGGGTATCTGACCATATTTACTGCGTAGCTTAGATTTCAACACAATTTCATTGTTCACGGTGCTTGGCCCAGATAATTGCTGCCTGCAGCTGCATTTACTCTAGTACAGATTAAGAAAGTTGGTAAAGAAGTCTTACAAAGGTAAAAAAGTTTAAATAACAAAAAAGGGGATTTAACACTTATAAAACAGTGTTCTACCTCCAGTCAAGAACAGATAAATCTATACTTCTGCATTAACCACGGTAAACACTTACCGGTTTTCCTCCTGCGGGGTGGTGCCTTGGCTGCCTGCACCAGAATGAGGTCTGAAAAAAACTTCCTGCGTGCTTCTTCTCCCGGCATGCTTAAACAAACCACCTCCCCGTAAGAACGGCTGAAGATGCATGTTAGCTGTTAAAAAAAAAAACGCAAACACTTAGAAACAAAAAATGGCATTTTGTAATTTAGTCAGCAAACTGAGAAAAAGACAAAAAAAAAGACAAAAAAAAACCTTACATATGCTTTTCAACAACAAAACAAATTACTCGATAACTGATCTCAAATTTCAGGTCAATGACATGATGCCAATTAGTTTTTCAAACACTACATAAGTTAATTAATACAGAAATGTATTTAACACACCCTTTATATGATTAAAATGTTTTTAGATTCCACATTTTTAAATACAAATAAAAAAAATACATATATATATGTGTGTGTGACCCTCTCTGTGAAATCCAGGCTAAAGTCTTAAAATCTAGTTATGAGATAAGCATCAAAGTTTGATTTCGACCATTAATTTCACTATGATTTCAATCTTTGACATGGCCTTACTCAGTCGATATTAAAGATATCAAGGTTACATTTTCACAGAATGTTCTTTACCTTATGAAGGATGATTTTACATAGAAAACAGTAAATCACCAAAAAATGACTTTTGCTGGGTTTTCATAGCCAGGGTCACACACATACACGCATACATACACACACACACACACACACACACACACATATATGCTTTAAGCGTCAAAAACAGTGACTCATGAATTCAACATGTATACAAACTGTGAGAACATCTGCCATGAAAATCACACTCAAAATCACCCATACTGCTCTTCAAATGCTGCCAACCAGCAGGGATCAAATCCCTGGGACTCCACTAAAAGGCATCACACATCTCGCCAAAAAGTGACCCAGCCAACATACAAGCTCATTTAAAACTTGTGTTGAACCCTGTCAATTTGGTTTTCCCACAGCATTCTTTGTTCTTTTGCGCAACACTTTTTTTTTCTCGTTTCTACCCCGAAAGCACAGTGCATGACGGGCTTTGACTCTCAAAAATATTCTCCCGGCATGAAGCATTGTTCTGCTCAGCTTGAACTACGAAAAGAAAGTTTGTTGGTAAACATACAGTATTTATAGGGTAAAACCCAAAGCAGGAAGAAAATCAAACCAATGTGATGTGTGAACATGTCAGATATTTTTTTAAATGTTACCATAAATAATTTGGCATAATCATATTATTATATGTCATATTATACTTATATTATACATATATACATACTATAATCATA